TGCACAGACATCACTCCGCTCATGACGCGCTACTGTCCAACTGAACTGGGTGCATCGCCAAACATGTCCTCATGCGGATGGCAAGTACCACAAGGAGCCCATCGTAAGTTTCGCATGTGCAAATTGTAAATTGACGGGTACTTATTGCTTACACTGTTTTTTAGTCAACACAAGCTCCGATGTATTCAGTATGACATCCTTCATCCCGTCGGCGTATGGCGACATGCCCCACTCCACGATAATCCGACTCATCTTCATGGGTACAGAGCTTCAAGATACACCCAACGCTCTGAACCCTTGGGCATCACAATGCAGTCTGCAAGCATGTGCAAATACGCTGTCCGCATCGGTCACAAACGGTACGCACCAAGAGAATGTCACGCACTCTGTTCTCAACCACACTGTCATCGACATGAGCTCCCCCGATCCTGCCGCCGACTATGGTGTTTATATCACTGGCAAGTCCGATGACACTGCGTACTTGCTTGGCATGGAAGCGCTTTTGAGCATACGCGGATGGTTTAGTGCAATCTTTACCAACGGCTCCGCCACCCGTACGACTAGCGATTTCACTCGAAGTGTCACAGACCCAGACCGTGCCGTCGTTGTCAATCTCACAGTCGGAATCTCATCAGGCGAGACTTTCTTCGACACAGATATTGTCACAGCGTTCTACTGGAACTACTACGAGTACGCCGATGGACTCAATATGCTAATGAGCGACTTGGCTGTATCGATGACAACCGCTTTTCGCGGCTTCAATGGCGCTGTTGATACGAACGGCAAGTCGATAACGGTAGAGTCCTATGTCCACATCCGGTGGGGTTTTGCTGTGTTACCGATCGCGGCTGTCGTGGCCACTCTGATCTTCTTGCTCGCGACGATGACGATAACGCATACGTCTGGTACGCAAGTGTGGAAAAGCAGTGCGCTTGTGCCGTTGTTACACGGCTTGGATCATCATACTAAGGAGAGGTTCGGTACTAAAGACAGTTTGCCAGCTCAGAAGAGACAGGCAAGAGCGGTAAAGGTCAAATTGCTTACTGATAATCGGGATAGCACAATGCTTGGAGCAGAGAAGGCTGCATGCTAGTTTGAAAGGCGATGGTGATCATGCTTCGATAGGCAAAACAACACCTCACTCAATACAATCTTTGGGTTATACCCTAGTTTCGCGATCAATATCCTTGCTCGTTCTCCCCTCGCTACTGATATCACTTTCCGTGTCGCTGAGCAATCCATTCCAAGCATCATCATCGACGCTATCCCTATCGTCTTCTCTTCCAACGTCCTTCTCTACCTTGACGTTTACGAACAACATCCATAATCCAATATCGTAGGTGATCCTACAAATACTCGTAGCCACGAAGGCCACCCAAAAGTTATCGCTACCGGAGAGGAAGCCTGTGATTGATGGCCCGACGCTCATGGCTAACGTGCGCAGCATACTAGTGATGCCCATGACACCCGTACGCTCTTCAGGCTTCACGACTGCTGCAATGAAAGCTGTACGCGGTGCTTGATCCATGCTATTGAGGGAAGCTCGGAATAGCAGCAGGCCCACTGTCCAACCGACTTTTGAAGGTAATGGGATGAAGCCGCTGGCGATCGATGATGGGAGGTGAGTGAAGACCATAGTGTTGATGAGACCTATGCGTTTGGCCAATGGTCCGGCGAAGATAGCTCCAACTGCGCAGAGAAACTGCGAAGCCGAGGTAATATCCCCAAGCGTAGACTTTGAGACGTGGAACTTTTGGTCGACGTAGTAGTTCATCAAGGAGTAAGGTGTCATGCCGTCTGCTAGACTGTCAACAGCTAAGAGGATCCAGAGCTTGTACATGACGGATCGTGTACTCTGCGAGATCTGACTAAAGTAGCTTGCTGCCTTTTGCGATGGCGGGTTCCTGACACCCACAGGTCTTCCTACGTTCTCGCGGTCTTGGTCGAAGCCGTCCGTGGTGCTGGGTGTCATCGCCTCCAGTAGCACTTCTTCCTCTTCGCCATGGCCCCCACCACGTCCTCGCTCTTGCATCTCCGCCCGCTTTTCACCTGCAGCCTCGCATCTGCTACTCAAACCCAGACAAAGGATGCTCCCAAGCACTCCGAAGGCGGCATAGCCCCAGAACAGGGCATGGTATGCCTTGGTCACATTACCGCTGCTCTTCTCGAGAGCATTTACCGTTCTCCCTGCGACTTCTGCGCCAATGGCCCCTGCCAATGTTGTCGCTGTGACATACCACGAGAGTACATCGCTTCTTGTTGTCTCGTCTGTTAGGCCACTCAACATGCTCTCCTCGACAGCCCTAAAAGGACCACAGTCAGCACCGGTGACAGAAATGATGCCGAACACCGCCGCAACCAAAAGAATGAAGAAGTTTTCCGACATCGCAAATGCGACGCCTGAACAAGCCATCATCACACTACCCATGAAAAGAATCCTTCTCCTGCCTATTTTGTCCGCCACGAGAGTAAGCAGCAAGGACAGTAGGACATCTCCGAGCAATGTCAATGTCATGAAGACCCCAATCCTCGAATCCGGAAATTTAAGTGAGGAGAAGAAGAGGGCGAGAATCAGCGACGGAATGCCGGCCGTGAACATTCTCAGCGATCGCAGTGTGATGATGATGTACGCATCTCGTCCAGTCGCGTTGAGTGATGTGATGCCGAGAAACCCAGCGATCCGCGATATCGCCGTGGGGGCCATGGTGGCAATGTTGGACTGTGCCGCGTGTTGGATCAGAGAACGCGAGTTGACGTTTCGTAAGAAGGCAAACTCAACGTCAACTGCTTATAGATGTCGAGAAGAAAAGATGAAGAGAAACGGAAAAGCACGGAAAAGATCTCATCCTACAAAAGACTGGTGACCACCCGCGTTGCTAGTGTGGGCGTTAAACCCGAGACGGGTTTAAGCTTGGAAGCTACATCTTGCCTGACTCACCTATGGCGCTGCCTGCATATGCGCGACTCCATCAAAGCGCGTTCTAGATCATTTTTGAGCGACCTTAACGGCGTTACTACCGACGTTTGATGTGCTGGTTTGGAGATGCTGCGCGGCCGAATCTGCCCCGCGGTAAGAGTGGGGCCAGATTTCGTCATCGCCAGGCTCCTGCGCTTTCGATCGCGCGTCGCGTGCCTCGAACAACATCATTACCAGCGCGATACGTTAAGTGAACGGATCTCAAACCAGTAACAAAGCGCTCGACAGATCTTATGGGTCTTCGTAGGCTCGTGGTTGAGGAAAATGCTTTATTGCAAAGTCACGTTCCCTTATCGTCGCCATGGCAATTGTTCCTTACTCAATTAGATGCTCGCCTTCGTCAAGTGAGATAACATGATGAAGGTGACTAGTGGAGCTGAGAACGCACGGTGACCGCCGAAGGTGAGAGTACAGGTTGAGTACAACAATCCCTAGATACCATGTTTGCTAGTATAACAAGACTTGGCAATCCAGCTATTTGAGGTACATTCAGATCCTCCGGGGCTCTCTTTCTATCCTCCATTCGACTGAGCCTACAGCTACCAGGTACTACCGAAATCTTACCAAGTCGGACTGCAATAATCAACAAAAGTACGGTCGACCAGACTACCACCAGCACAACTCGTCCCCAACATGTCTTCCAAGGATATGTCATTCGCAAAGGCATTTGACGAGCTCTTACCACTCGAGATCAAGCAGATAATCTTCAAATGGGCAGCAAGCGACAACAGCAGCGAGATCCAGATCAGGCTTTTACACGATAACGCAGACCGGCTTCATGCACCAGCAGTCGACCTGCTCACGAAGTTGAAGGACCAGTACTCAGCCAAGGCGTACAACCAGGCCTTGGAGTATCTTACAGGATCAATTTTTCGGTGGGCCTTCAGCAGCGATACACAGCCACATCGATACCTTCTCCGTGCTTTCCGAAATTCGGTCCCAATGGAAGTTCGACAGCGAATCAAGCATGCCTATCTGCCTCGGGTCACCGTGTATGGTCTCATCAATCCTGCGACTCAGTCCACAAGCTTCGAGAACTTGGGATTGTCGGAACCGTCTATACCGAGGCCCTACTCTGATTACTTCACACGTCTAGGCGCTACGACATCCTCGACATCCTTTGATCGGCTCTTGATAATTATGCAAATCAAGAAAGACATCGCAGGAGGTATGCAGCTGCTACCCATTACGCTTCCTTCGCTCACGAAACTGGATCTCCGTCTCGACATCATTGACTGCTTGCAAAGAACTCCAGAAGACGCCATGAAGTTTGAAGCCACTTGCTTGGTTGATTGGATGAATCTGCTTCAGAGTGGACCGCTTCCGGGTGGGTTTGGAGCACTTGCAAACCTCGTAGGGATCGCCAACCTCGATATTCGCGTTATCTGGGATGACTTCCTTGGCAAGAAACGGAATTTCGTAGGCAGATGCAGTGGGGAGATTGAGGAAAAGGCCCACGACATGCTTATGGAGGCGTTATGTCTAAGTCTTCCTACTGCGAGGAGCATTGTCGGCCATTCAGACAGTTCTTTCGTCTGACCGGTAGCCTCTGCTTCACTTGGATGCATTGATCACGGCTTGGGGATCAGGGTTTCCTTCTGTAGCGCGTCACGTGGAATAATGGGGAATGGATCACTTGTATGGCCATCCCGGTTTTACGGACTGCAGGGCGAGATGCGAACGCTGCAACTGCTTAACGGCTGATTAGGGCGGTATGTGCTCTAGGATTTGGTTCAGCATTAAGCACCATCTAGGGCATAACTGCGACATCCCCGACGGCCTGCAATTTTGTTCCACTTCTTTGTCACCTGGGGACTCGAGTTAATGAAACATCAGCTAGCGACGAGGAAAAAACAACATGGTTCATTTTCATTTGAAGAGATGAGTGGCACAGCGAAGTATGTAGTTATCTCCAAATGTTCGTAGTTATTGGCCTATGACATACTCCGCGATATGCCAAACCGTCCGATCAAATGCAAGCCAACGTCCGGTCTGTGACTTCCCCTCAAGCTCAGCTACCCGCCTAGTATCCGTACAAGTTGACACGCTCATTCGTTGACGCCTTAAGTCTCTGGTTCTCCTTAATGAGCATCACGCGAATCGCCCAGGCACAAGCGATCGACAGCAGCGCGAATCCAGCAGAAGCACCGAATCCAATTCCGTATCGAGGCTTGTCGGTGTCTGGCCAGAGGTAAGCGCCGTAGATGTACCCGATCTGCCCTCCGACGTTCGTCATCGCCAACACGACAGCTTTCTTCTCTTTCGTCTGACTGAGGGTCGAAGATGCCCAACCAATGATGACGGAGTTGACGGAATACGCGCCCATGGGGAAGATGAAGCAGGCAACATATCGACCCGCTGTATTCATCGTACTGGCAGCGATGACGAATCCGACAATGGCGACTAGCAGTCCACCAGTGATATGCCAGGTGCGCTCATGCATACGTCCCGAACTCCAGCCTGTAGCGATACCTGCCGCGCCGGCAAGCAGGAAGGGAGGGCAGGTCAGTAGGAGAGTAATCGTTGTATTGAAACCGAGGGTCTTGATGACACTAACATTATTGTCAGCGAACTTTCCTGTGAGTATACGAATGTACTTACGTTGGGAAGAAAGAGTTGAACGAGCAAGCACTGAGATGGAAGTTCTGCATGAGACAGAACAGCCACGTCCTCTTGTCGCGGCACGCCTGCCTCAGTCCCTCCATCATGCTAACAGGCTCGGTGGAATCGCCGACTCGGTCACGCTCCATACGTGCATGAGCGAGTTCGCGCTCCCGTGGGTTAAGCCAGCTCGTGGTGAGTGGGGTGTTGGGAAGCATGAAGAAACCCCAGATGGCGACCAATGCGGTCACGGCTCCTTCGCTGTTGATGGGTTAGCACGATGTATGTTCAGGCAAGAGAAGATAGACCTAAATTATGAACAGCCAGCGCCAGTACTTTTGGCTGCTGGATTCCCATCATGCAAGCTTGCTTGCATGATGGGAATCCAGTAGCCAAAAGTAATCCAGTAGCCTAACCCAGAATACACGCTAGATCTCCATCATGCAAGCTTGCTTGCATGATGGAGATCTAGCAACCCTCACACACAACACGCACACACAACACGCACACACAACACACACACACAACACACACACCCACACAACACACACACAATACAAATCGACGTACTCGATTTCAATCATCATGACTGCGCATAACATACACACGTGAGACCCGAATCTTCCTCTCAGTCCTTGTAGAGCTTAGACTTAGCTTTAGGCTGACCCTCCTCTGCCGCGTTTGCTGCCGCCTCGACCTCCTCGACCTCTCCATTGCTTCTTTTGGTCCGCAACAGGTAGCTTCGCCTCGTCAATGTCCGACATGGAAACATCCTCCTCAACAGCCTTGTCAGCAGGCTCCTTCTTAGCCTCGTCGGCAGGCTCCTCAGCAGCTGTTTCGGCAGTCTCCTTCCTGTTAGCCTCCTTTCGAGCCTTCTTCTCAGCCTCCTTCTGAGCCTTCTTCTTAACCTTCTTCTTGGGCTTGTCAGCAGCCTCGTCGGCAGCCTCCTCAGCATCCTCGTTCTTCTCAGCCTCCTTCTGAGCCTTCTTCTGAGCCTTCTTCTCGGCCTTGTCAGCAGCCTTCTTCTCAGCAGCCTTCTTCTCAGCAGCCTCCTTCTCAGCCTTGTCAGCAGCCTCCATCTCAGCCTTGTCGGCGGCCGCCTTCTCAGCCTTGTCAGCAGCCTTCTTCTCCGCAGTCTTGTCAGCAGCTTTCTTCTCCGCAGCCTTGTCAGCAGCAGCCTTCTTCTTAGCCTCCTTCTTCTCAGCCTCCTTCTTCTCAGCCTCCTTCTTCTCAGCCTCCTTCTTCTCAGCAGCCTTGTCATCCTCCACCTTGTTCTTGGCTAGTTGCGGCGACTTCTTGATGCCCATTGCAACTTGAAGGATATCGATGATTGAGGTGAGTTGAGGATTGATTATATCAGCAGTTCCTACGTTCCAATATGCCATGAATTTGCAGAACGTGTCGAAAGCTCTCCTGGCAGTGTCCGTGTCCGAAGCATTCCCAAAGATCTGCCATAGCTGAGCTGGTGACACAGGAACAACGTCATTGCCCAGTTTAGACTGTAGCGCCTCTTGGTGTGCAACGTTGTCGCTGCGTAGTTTGACGAGAGCGTTGATCGTGGCAGTCATAAGAGAGGGGAGCGAAGCGGGGTTAATCGAAGTGGTCGAAAACGCACCCTGCACGGGTACGTTGCATCGGGCATCGCTGAGGAACAACAGTGTCTGCTCAACTAGATGGTCGTCTGTGCAATCACCCATGCATCCCTCGATACGCGGTGCGAGACGGAGAAAGGGCTCGACGTCTTGGGCAGAGAGTGGGTGATGGGTCGGGTCCAGGCCATCAAATAGACGCTGCAACAGCTCCGGCGTCAATGATTGGGCTGCCTCGGGCCATTGCTGGGCGACCTCGGCGAGCATCTCCTTGGCGCTCCACACTAGCGAAACTTGATCCGGACCGTCCTGACCCTCGTCCGCCATCTCCACGTCGGAATCGACCTCGTCGGTTTGGGGAGGAATGAGGAAGAGCCTGGTGTGTGGAAAGTTGGTAACCAGCTCCATGAGGGGCGCAACCGCGTCGTCCAATGTCTTGGAAAGCTCCGTCATTATCCAGGGACTATTCTTCAGCGACAGGGCGCTCGACAGCATGTGAACCTTATTCGCAAAGGCGAGCGTTGGGTCGGTCGCGATGACCGTCTGGTCCCTGGGCGTTGCGTATGCTGTTAAATCTGGCTGCACGACTTGGCCATCGTCATGGACGGCAACAGCGCGCACCAACTTGTTCCACCTTGACGCCCGGCCTCCGGCTGCCTTTGAGTAATCCCTATACTCGGAAAAGTAGTAGACCTCGTCCCCAGGGCAGTTATACATCCTACACAAACCATCTTTCGGCTGCACCAGCACATACAACTTTGTCTGGGCGGGCTGCTTCTTGGAGCACGGTGTAACGACGAGCAAGGCATCCACGCCGTCATGGTCGTCCTTGTCGAACCCTTCCGATGCGTTCAATTCGGCCTCCTCGATTTGGTCCACATGCTTCGATCCGGTAAAGCGGGAGTTCAGCGTCAAGGTGTCGTTCCCGTTCGCCGGAAGGTGTTGACCGATGACGCCAGTATGCAACCCGTCCTTCTTGTCTTGCTGCGTCTCCTCGCTCGACGCTTGGCTTGTTGGTATGGTCAGGCCGACGAGCACGACTTGGATCTGCATCACACCGGGCTCTGGCGCTTCTTCCTCTTCTGTGAATGTAAAGTTACGGCACTCTACGTCGCCAACGGCGGTCTTGTAGGAGCTCGAAGAGAGGTTGGATTGTGCCATGATCTTCTTGTTTTTGATACGGTTTGGCCAAGAGAACTGCAGCGCGAGGCCGCGGGCAGTAAAGGCGACGTCTTCAAGCTGTGGCGCAAGCGCCTTGTCTTTGGCGCTGCGTGTGCGCGCCATGCTGACAGGGACGAGATGAGGAAGAAATGAGGGAGAGATGGTGAAGTAGAAAATGTGCAGCTCGGGGAGGGTTGGGCAAGTTGAGAAGAGGTGAAGGCGGCGGTGTTGAGCGCAGGTGGGTGGCCCGTGCTCTGATATCCACCTGGGCATCTACCGGGCTGGAGATGGCGACTGCAACAACGACACGACCGCAACGACACGACCGCAACGACACTACCGCGAAACTACAGGGCATTCACAATGTCAACTACCAAGACTGCGTCAAACGAAGTCCTCGATTCTGAACTCTTGGAACGAGTGAAGAAAGCCGTCGAAACAGCCAGCCGGCACTCCGCCGACAAGGACGGGTTCAGGACTTACGCCATGAACAATTTGCACGAGGTCGCCCATGAGCTCTCGGTACTCGCAACTACAAGATCGATTCTGCCTCCCCGCCCTATCCTCCAATTGAGCGATGGCATGAGGGGTATTGTCCGCAGGATGCAAGCCATCATCGAGGACAAACCGGCAGACATGACAAACAAGCTCCAAGTGTTGTCCAAACAACTTCGTAACATGGCAGTTGGCCCGTATTCAAGCTCCCAGGGCAATGGCAAACTATGGGTACCCGAGATATATCTCGCAACATGTAACATGGCCTCCAAGTCTGCTTGCTGTATTCTCTGCTGACACATTCCACTTAGCCAAGAAGAAGAAAAGCCAACTGCTAGCCGAGCAAGATGCCAGCTTGCCATTACCCAGCGAGATTCACTATGATACCAACGAGCCCGACTTTGACGATATGGTGTCAGAGGCTGAACCCGATGAGTACGACGAGGACAACTCCGAGGACGAGCGGAACGTTGTTCTGACTAGGGAAACGTACCCCATAGACGAGTTCCCATTCAGCTCATCAGACAGCTCATCAGACAGCTCATCAGACAGCTCATCAGACAATTGAGGAGTGACACATACGGAGGACGCTACGTGATTGTCGTGGGCTTTTTATGCGGTTGCCCTCCCCTCGTCTGCCTCCGGTTTGTCGATGAGAACACGATGAAGGACAAGGTGCTGCTATGCGCGTTACTGGCGGTCACGGGGCTCTTTGTGGGCATGACGTTCGCGCCGGTCATGGCAGAGGTATCGGCTGTCGCTGAGGCCAAGGAAAGAAAGATGATCGCAGATGGACGCCCAGGATTCGGCAAAGGCGGTGCATTTGCGCAGGCTTACGCACTGTACAACTCTGCGTTCGCTGCCGGCTGCATGGCGGGACCTCTGTTGGCCGGGTTTCTTGCGGAGGACAGCGGCTGGGGGACTATGGCGGCCGTCTTGGGCGCGCTGTCTGCTGTCACTGCCGTCCCGGGTTTTCTCTGGCTAGGTGGATGGGTGCTAGCAAAGAACTAGACACGGTCGATAGGATAGTCTCTCCGAACATCGGCCGCATACACAGACTTCTAGTCGGTTGCACTCTGCATGTTGTGAGTCGTGATACATGGCGTCATTGCCTCGGCTTCGTCCCCACTGCCGTTGTTGCCCGACGCCGGGACCCTGCAACTGGCCGGGAGGCGCCACGCCACACCTTGATCGCACTCTCCCTTCTGTCTTCCACCACACGTCCATCTCCGCTCGCCACCGCCTGCATCGCTACATCGCCATCTCGCTGTCAAGCGCCTCATTGGGTCTTCGAAACAGGGCTCCATCTCTCCTATGCGGCGATGGCATTCGCTCCTGCATCATCTCCGGCCCTCCAGATGTCACCCCAATCTATCACTGCACGTCCAGGTCCAATCGCCACTTCACCCGGGAGATGCATGCTGCGTGCAATCAAACCCCTTTTACAGCTCTCTTCCCAAGATTTGCACCGCCAGTGCAGTTGCCGCAACAGAGTTCATTGGCATCAGAACACTAATGAGAGCTTTGTACAATGCCATCACTACGTCATGCACCGAGAAGTAGACATAGGAGGCGCGGAGCAAACACCGCAACCCCGCCTGACAACAGGTTCCCTCTGACGGCCTGGAACAACGCATGGAGATAGGCGAGCGTGTTGCGATCTCTCTTCGACGATGTAATAGGTTGCCAAAAGATTAGTCTGCAGATCTGGGGTCAGATGGTCCATGCCACGCATCTTAGGTTCCAAGATCGTCAGGAACAGCCTCTCTGAGTACTAACACATGGTACTAACTTTACTCCGAACGCTTTAGGCTCGCATCCCACAAGCCGCTTGGTGCGTTAGAAGGGGTCCAACTTGATCAGGTGTTTCAGATTCAAGCAACTACCCACACCGCTACAAATTTCACCATGGCTGATGATCACTCCACGGCAGATTTTTCTACTTCAGGCTTCTCCACGGCAGTCACATTTCATGTGCGAGTATGCACTACAAGACGTCTAGTTTAGAATGCTCATCGCTACCAGAATCTGAGTGCGATGTAGGTCGTTCATTCGTGTGAACGCGTCACATGCGCCTCGGCGTGCTGAGCAAACCCGCCTCCTGACCGCGTCGTCATCCATGTAGCTTTCTGTCCCGATCCGCGTCTCCGGGGGAAGACGTTCACTACAATCCCCCAGATTGCGTTTCTAGTTAGATCGAAGGGTCCATCACCAATCACGACCCAGGAGACCCGTGGGCTTACCAACTTAGATGCCCAGTTCGGACTAGAGGATATCCGTCACATGGCCATAACACAGCAGTCGCGACTCCATCGAGTTCGCTGCCTCCAGGAAAGCGCGCAAACTCCACCTTGGCCGCATCCACAGTGTTCGCTCGGCAACTTGTTAAATGCACTCACTTGGTCCCATCTACAGACATACCATCACATCTTATTTGGATTGAGCGCCACCGCATCTTCAGAGCCCGTACTGCTACCCTTGATTTCCAACAATACTACCCGACAACATGATTATCAGTCGTGCACTTACTGCGTTATCGCTATGCGCCGCCACGATTGCAGCTCCAACGTAAGTCACGCGCACGATGCGGAAGAGAACGTCTTTCCTTTTCCGGTGATAGAGCAGTCACTTCCGCATTCGACACTCCTTTCGTCCCAACGCACATATGACGCAACCGCTAACCCATCTAAAGAGAGAAGCGCGGTGTCGACTTCAAGTGGGGGTCTGACAAGATTCGTGGTGTTAACATTGGTGGATGGTTGGTCTTGGAACCGTACGTATTCCCGAAGGTCTTCGTCACCAATCGCCACCCAGTTGTGTTGCTAACCATCTCTACGCAGTTGGATTACGCCTTCTATCTTTGATGGAGCGAACCAAGGCCGTCCGCAGAGGGACATCGTTGACGAATACACATTGGGCGAGAAGCTTGGCAGAGATGCGGCGGGAAGCATTCTACGGAAGCACTGGGACTCGTTCGTATCATGGCACGACTTCAACAAGATCAAGCAGTCAGGCTTCAATGTCGTTCGTATCCCCATCGGGTTCTGGGCATACGACACTTTTGGTACACCGTATGTCAGCGGTGCGAGTGTCTACATCGACGCTGCCATCGACTGGTCTCGAAGTCTAGGGCTGAAGATCATCATCGATCTCCATGGTGCACCAGGCTCTCAAAACGGATTCGACAACTCCGGTCAACGAATGGACTACCCTGGATGGCAACGCGGCGACACCGTAAAGCAGACTGTCCAGGTTCTACGGACAATCTCGCAAAAGTATGCTCGGACAGAGTACCAGGACGTCGTCGTCGGTATCCAACTACTCAACGAGCCCGCGTTGTACACTGGCATCAGCGAAGACGTGACCAGGCAGTTCTATCGCGATGGTTACGGTCAGGTTCGTGAGGTTTCCGACACCCCAGTCATCATTCACGACGGGTTCAAGCCTCCGAACACGTGGAACGCCTTCCTCACTCCTTCGGATGCGAACGCGGTGAACGTCGCGGTTGACCACCACGAATATCAAGTGTTTGACAGCAATCTCCTCCGCATGTCACCTACGGACCACGCACGCTACGCTTGCAGCAACTCTCAGACTATCGGCGGTGCGGACAAATGGACGTTTGTTGGCGAGTGGACATCGGCTATGACGTGAGCAGTCCGCATTCTTACAGTTTATGAGACGTCTACTAACGTGTACTAGGGATTGCGCAAAGTACCTCAACGGCTTCGACCGTGGCGCCCGCTACGATGGAACCCTCCCAGGCAGCTCCAGGATTGGATCTTGCGATTGGCAAAACGACCTATCACGGTGGTCAGCCTCCTACAAGGACGACAGCCGACGTTACATTGAAGCCCAGATCGCCGCTTTCGAGAGCAAGACTCAGGGCTGGTTCTGGTGGAACTTCAAGACGGAGGGTGCGGCTGAATGGGATGCATTCCGACTTATCGACGCTGGCGTCTTTCCGGCAATCAGAAACGGGCAGGTAGAGTATAAGTTCGGCCGCATTTGTTAGGAGCGGAATGGGACGGTGACTTATCAACCTCCGGGTAATTGGGCTGAGACCTAGAGTCCTGGATAGACGGGGCGATATACACGAGCAAGGTAACGCACATTGTTCAGTTGGTTGGTGGGCTATATACCAGAATACTACGTTTGCGCGCATTTGGAGCTCAGGCATTCTGCAACGTGAGAAAAGCAAGTCGCGCGAACCACTTTGCTCTGCGACAAGACCACGAAGACTCCAGGGTTCGGGGCTGGGCTTCTCACCGGAACCAGTCACGAGTAGTGGGCTCGGAGTATCAATGCGACGTTCATGTCAGGAAAGAGTCTTGGTATTTTCTGCATCAAGGTATAACTACCCCGCCGACATGATTAAACCTCCGCTATTATACGTACATCTATGTTGTTTCCATATACCACCTCATTTCCTCTGGAGCCCCCGCGAACCGAGGTCGTCGATTACTGGGTCTCTTCCTCAGTGGGAGCAAGGTTCTCCGCTAGCACCTTGTCCACCTCCGCCATGGACAACCCGTGCACCTTCGCCATATGGACGCGGAAATCTTGCTCCTGGGGGAGCTTCTTGTGCTCCTTAGGAGTACCTACACAGCGCGGACAGGTTCTCGGCTTGTACGAGCAATGTGTCGCCAGGTAGTGCTTCTGCCTCGCTGCGTAAGTCGGGTACACTATAGTCTGGTCGCACTCATCCTTGCGAGTGCAGGGCGAAGGCTTGAAGTCGTGAATTCTACGGACATGGTTCTGCATGCCCTTGAGAGCCGTAAACTTTTTGTCGCAGCCGCTTGTTGTGCAAGGAACGTTCTTGTCATGCGACTTTTGTTTTCCTTTACAAAACAGTTCGTGCGCCTGCATGCGTTGATTGATTGTTGCGCTGAAGCCGCATCCTTTTGAGCAACTCATGCCAAAAATGCTAGAAGAGTCCTTGCTGCCTCCGTTGATTGCCAGAGTCTGAGCTGATCTGATGTTGATCTTGGAGAAGTGTTCGATGAACGAGATCCACGAAAGTGTAAAGGGGTCCTCCTCGGTGGAAATCGAGGATGTTGATTCATACGGGTCTTTCGGAGAGTTTGCGGCGGCCAGTGGTTCGAGATCGAAAATGTCTTCCGAGTAACTGTTCATGTCGAATACTTTATCTGATAGTAGGCTTTCCACGAAGCCTGACAACATCGGATCTACTGGGATCTCGCTCTGCACCATGTCAACTTCGAATGCCGGTGCTGCTGCATACTGGCGCTCTGCCAGCGCTGGGGCATGCGTCATGGCGTTTTGATCGGCTTCTGACAGCGGGTTCGTCTTGCGCCTTTTCGGGGCTGACACGGTCGGAGTCAACTGTGGATCTATAGGGATGTAGTCCTCGTTCTCCTTTTCCGAATCGACACGGTTGAATCCGGACAGGCTGCTGGTCTTGACCCATTCGTCACGATGAGCCTTTGCCATGTGGCGTCTTGCTCTCCTCTTATCATTCTGGGACGCCGGCCCTTTGCTGCCGAGGTACTTTTCTACCTCCTCCGTGCTGAATTTCGGTTTCTTGTATTCTGATTGTGACTGTTCGTGAAGCCTTGTTGCCGGCATCTTCGTCCAGTCGGCCTGTAAGCGCTCTTCCATGAGACCTGATACCGCACCACCTATGTAGTCCTGGGTGACGCCTGACTGGGCAGCTGCATTCGTGTGACCCATCAACCTTCTGGCACGCTCGTGGCTCGAGGTTTCTTTGGTGGACGGCAAGTGGTGGGCCTCGAAGGCTACACCGCGGCGGATGTCATGCGTCCCTGGGGTTGACAACAACCCTACCAAGGAAGAAGCCCGCTGCAGAACCGTGCGCAGTTGCGATTCTGGCGCTGGGGAATCGTGAGTGAGGGCATGACCAGCATTCGCCGCCATCAATATGGGCAGTGTAGGATCTTTCCACAAGATCGTCTTGTTTTGCCGTGCACGGGTTGTGGCCAGGAGAGACTCGATCGAGGTTTCTGCGACATTGCCGCTCCGGAGGGCCATTACGACGAGAAGCTTGATCGGATCGCATACGTTGAATTGTGGCGACAGCAGCTCTAGCTTAATCGAGTGTGCGATGTTGCTACTATCCCTATAGATGGTCAGAAAGAAGCTCAGGGTAGCGTTATCAGACTTACTTGTTGCCTTTTGTGTAGCGGAGTTCAACGAGACAATCGAGTGCTTCGAATCCTGCTTGATCCGTGACGAGCCTCACGGTGAAGTCACCCCATTTGGCATACTCTCTGCCCTTGAAGCATGACGACTGTGCAAGGTCTCCCGACCTAGCCCCTGTTGATACCATTAGAGCCATAGACAAGGCTCCTTGAAGAACAAAATCCCAATTACGGCATCCGTTCATGGCAGCATCGCGGAGCCACGCGGTGGCGATGAACAACACGAGGCGTCCACTCATCCATTTCTTCTCCCTACTCTCATCTTTAGTTATGTGACCCTGTTCAAGCATTTCGCCGAATGCAGCCTTGATCTGGGTGGCTTCTCCTGGTTTGATCTTGAACTCGGGATGCGCGGCTTGCGTGGTGATGATGATCCAGGCAATGCCATCAGAGAGGCTTGAGTAGGTCATGATTCCAGAGGGGCCGCGGCCTTCGATGTACTTCGGGTATGCGTAGGCGAAGCGTATAATGTGCTCGCTCGTAGGCATCTGGTCTGGTCTAGAAATCTATTAGGAATCGAGGACCTCGAAGTTTGGCGTGTCGGGGTATCTTACGCAACGTTCAGACTGTCCTTCAAGAACCCAAGGAATCGGTTACGCCAAACGGCCTGCGCGTTCTTCGTCCTGGGGGAACCGTAGTAGATGGGTCGCTGTTTGTACGCAATTTTGCTCGAGACGCGATCTTCTGCTGCTCGGGCGAGGGCCCGGTGCAATGAGTCGCCGCCTAGATGTGCGTACTCATCTACAGAACAACGCATTAGCTTTCTAGCTCTCCAGTGCACGGGAAAGAATCGAAGGCCTTGAATTAGGGCGCACTTACCTTGTCGTTCCGGAATCTCGATGTCGGAGGAGTTGAAGTCATCCGCGAGGGTAGCCGTGTTGCCGGCCATCGTCAGCGCATGCACTATTCGAGGTAACGAGGATGACGGAAAGGCTGATGGAGGACGGGTGAGGGAAAAGTCTGCAAGTTTTGACGTGTGCGGGGCAAGGTGAGTGTTTGCGCTGAGGTTGGAAAGAGCGAATGGCGTGGTAAACGTGGCACACCGCCACCTTTTCAAGCTAATTGGACAGCAACGTAGTGATGCAAGATCAAGAGGCTGATGGAGACAATCCTTTTGATTCGTGTTATAGCAGTGGCTTTCATTTCTCGACCAATGCGGCATAGAATCATGCTAACATCCAAGCTTGTCACACATCCGAAAGAGGAAGTGCCGACGGAACCAAGCTTATTGGCAACTCATGACCGTGTAGGTATCGACGTCTTCGATATACACCCGTCTAGTCCTCGTCCTCCTCGTCCTCCTCGTCCTCCTCGTCTCCCTCCTCCTCCTCGCTTGTCTGAACGTACCACTGCGGCGGAAATGACATATCCGGGACCTTGGGCGGCTCATCGTGAGGGCGTACCAACGGTCGCATCAAGACAGTGTTGACGGTCTTCTTCTTCGACTGGATATTGATGATACAGTCATCAATACTGCATTCCAACGCTTGCAGTCGAATGACGATGACGGTATACGGCTGGCCGGGACGAAGGAGCCGACTGTAAAGTTGCAACTCGGCATTCCGATTCCACCATACTTCGGTTTGGATCATGATGGAGGCCTCTGGGATATTGATGCCTTCTCCACCGGCCTTTCCGGAGAGAAAAAGTGGCTTTGACGGGGTAGTGGAGGATGATCTGAATGTTACGAGATTGGCCTGCCTCTGGCTGTCCGCCATCACTCCGTTGTAATCGAGGCCCTCGATACCCTCCTGCTGAAGCAGCGCTGACTTCACCAAGTCTAAAAACCTCAGGTACTGTGATGAAATGACCATCTTTCGTAGCGGGTATTTCTTGCGGAGGTGGGTGTAAAGTCGCAGCACGCGTTGCACTCGTCCAGATTCAAATGGTACGTTGACGTTCTCCTTGAGGTGCTTGAGCCAAGCCTTTCGACCGTTTTGCTCCTCTTCAGAGCGGTCACCGTGGAGTCTTTCGTGAATAGCGTCCATTTCGGCCTGGCTGAACTTGTGTACAGGCTTGACTGGCGCTGCAGTAGTCGACTCGAGGTTTCCTCGGCTTGTCTCTTCGTCGTCGTCTTCGCCGCCAGAGAAGTCACCGTCGTCCTCTTCGGTGTCGTCGTCGTCTTCGTCTTCGTCGTCGCCGCCAGAAAAGTCACCGTCGTCCTCTTCGGCGTAGTCGGCGTCGTCGGCGTCGTCGATGATGAAGCCGAGCTTCTTCTTCGCTTGGAATCGCTTATCGAGCAGAATTGGGTGGAGTGATGCCTGCTGTGCCCTGATGGCGTGGACGAGTACCTGCAGCGAGTCTTCCTTCTTACCAAACTCGATGCCCTCGATTTCCGCCCTCTTTCGCTTGCCCTTCTTGCCCTTCGCCTTCTTCTCGCTCTTTGCTTGTTCCGACTGCTGCGCCTGTATGTATGAGAGGTAATGATTCTCGCTGAGATTCGCATCATCCTTGTTGAGCTCGAAGGTCGACTTCCAATGCTCAACCCCGGGTAATTCTAGGACAGCAGCCGGCCTCGCCACGGTGAATCTCATCAGGAAGCGTTGTAGGAGCCTGAGCCTGGCCATAGCTGGCTCCGGCTCCAGTCTGCCATTGTAATCCCATGAGCCGAAGAGTCTGTTGAAGGATCCAATGTCCTTGATCGGCTGGTGCTTGATGAATGAAACCGGGCCCGCCCACCCATTCCATTTATTATGCGGAAACGTTCCCGACAGCATGACTGTGGCTTGGGCGGGGATGGTCCGTAGTGAGTGATAGCGCTTCGACTTTGTGTTGTTGGTGCGATGGGCTTCGTCCAAGAATAGCCGCTTGATCGGGTAATCTTGCCGTTGCCAAAACTCGGTGTGAAGAAATGAGGTGGCACGTCCCTTGGCCTTGAGGTAGCTGCGATGAATATTCTCGACCAGCTCATAAGATACAATCACCACATCTGGTTTCTGGGCGAAGAGCTGGTGCGCCGTCATCCTCGAGTCTGTCACGCGCACTACTCGTAGTGCTTCTTGCTGCATGGCGTCAGCTCACAATCGACATGCTCGATTTGGGTCATTCGTACCTTTTCAAATGCTCCATTGCACTCATCCGCCCATTGTTGACCGACTGTCTTGGGTGCTACGACGAGGCAAAACCCTCGCTGGGGTTGAGCCAGCTTGATCATCATCACGGCGAGATTTGTCTTACCCAATCCCATCTCATCACCGCAAAAGAAAATCTTAAACTTCGGCTGCTCGCAGAGCCAATGACCTTGCGCTGCGCCTTTCTTTTGCCACGCGTGTGGTGTAAAACGCAGACCAACGATATCGACGGGTGTCACGTTATCTAGGGCAACCTGCCATAATCGTCAGTGAAGGAACCAGTCGTGAGTCAGACAGAACACTTACAATGGCCTCTTGCCACTCGTCGCCCAGATACATACTGATGTGTATGTATTTGCCCTTTGGTAGTTGGATTAGGTCGCTTGCTGCGTCATCATCGCGCTCCTTGTGCTTTTCTGTGTGAGCCTTGTCACCACTTTCGCTCGACTGATCTTCGTCTTCGGTTTCGACGAGGTCGATTCTGGCGGCTTCCATCTCTTTATGGTTGCCTTGCAGATGTAGGCCTGGGCAGATCAACTGTCTTAGCTCACTTGGGGGACTGAGTGCATCTGACGGCGCAAGTGCCAGCGCGCTCAGAGCAGCGATGGCTGCTGTTGCGGCCGCATCGGGGGGGACCGACTTCTTCGCCCTCTTGGCTGACATTTCGATGTGAGGATGGATTGATTGTGGGAATGTGATGGTAGGGTTGGTTGTTGTTGTTGTGGTGGTGTGGAGGAAGCTCTCCAAGGGCGGTCGCGGGACTGCAGAAGCTCGGACCCCACCTTTACCTTTACCTGCACTCCTACTTCAGCTTCGCACTCTCTTCAACCCTCTTCTCTGCAATTCTTCCTTATTCTTTGGTGGTATACAAGTCAAATAATAACAAGAACGATGCCTCCCCGAACCCGCAAGCAGACAACATGGCACTCTACTCCAGGACGCGTGCTCGGTAGCGGAGCAGAAGTGCCTCCCGTTGTAAGTGAATGTGCTCGGATGCAGCAAATCGAGGTCCTCGCTTACCCTCCTAGGTACAGGACAATGAGGACTACGTACCTGGCGCCAATGAAGCGGACACGGACGACATCGACGAGGGCGGCGCGACTGATGACGCCAGCGATGTCGATACCAAAGACTTGCTGCAACCTGTCGGCACTGAAGACGCCAAGGTGGAGGAAGAGGACGAGCCGGAAGAGGAAGATGAAGAGGCAGACGAGGCAGACGAAGCTGAGGTGGGAGGCACCACGGTGGTCAAGGACGACGGGCCGGCGGCCGACAAGAAAGAAGTCCGAGTCATATCGCAGGCTCAGATGCCTGGCTATGGCGACAGTGAAGTGAGGAATAAAGATGGAAGCTATGTGTTCACCAAGGGTGGCGGCGTCAAGCTGGAGACCGACATCGTCGCCAGCATGAAGACGGACCCACGATACTTGAACATCCAGGCGAAGAGCAAATTGACGCGTAACGCCATCATCAAGCGCGCGGTATGTACCTACAGCCGAAAACGAGGACCTCGAATCATCTGCTAACAAGGTTGCAGACCGAGAACATGAGGGGCAAGCCGACCCAGCATCACTTCACGGACACGGGAAACAAGGCGTTCAAAGCGGGCGATTACTCCACCGACTTCTGGGAAGACTGCCTCATAGGTCCGTTTGTGAATAAGAAAGTCGTGGAGTTCGACGGAGAACCTGACAGCATCAATGGCGAGGCTGACAAAGACATGAAAATGTATATCCTCCAAGGGTATCACCAGTATTGCCACTGTACAAGCTGTACCAAGCGGCGCGGCAATGACGACCTAGAGAAAGGCAGAGTAGCGGCTAAGTTGAGACTGGAGCGCGACAGAGCGCGTATACACCAAGAGTCCATTGACAAGAAGGCGAGAAGGAACATGCGCAAGACCCCGAAGACACTTAGGTCAGGCAAGGTGGCCGACGAAGGATGTTCGCTCGGCGAGGACTGGGACGCATAGGGAGCTCGGCTGGATTTGATTTGATTTGTTCTTGATTTGCATTTCTCAATGGGTGGACGGCTAGGAAAGACGGCTAGGAAAAGTCGCGTAGCCAGGATGCAGAAAAGTTACCATGTTTGTGCTTTAGACCTCGCCCCGTTTTCGACGACGTTGATTCGGCCGTTCCTTTCATACGTCTGAAATCCCCGAGGCGGACTTTCTTGGTGCGCTTCAGCAGACTCCGCGTCTTGCTGAGTTGCCGTCCTGGTGAGACCTAAGCTGTCGCTTCGACTTGCGATGGCGATGGAGCCTAGTTCTTTATCCTCTGAGGATGCGTCTCCCTCGCCAGATGAGCGTCCCATGACTGTTGCGTCCCATCTCGCAGCCACCTTCTTCTCCACGAGCAACAGTCTGAGAATCACATCCAAGCCGACTAATGCATAGCACATGCCGAAGACGGCATTGTAACCAGCCTTGTCGTAGACTATGCCACCGAGTAGAGGCGATATGAGCATTCCAATCGACATGCCTATGGTCAGCCACCCAGCAGCAGTTGCGAGTCGTTCCTGGGGCACCGTATCAGCCAACAGGGCCAGACCAACAACCCATACCACAGCTGCCGAAGCCCCCTGCAGGAGCCTTCCGACAATCAAAGCCCCAATCGATTTGCCAAGGTTCAGCAGGATTGTAGCTCCTAGGAGAACGAACAAGCCCAGAAGAAGCGGAAAGCGACGCGTCGATCCGCGGTCCGCAAGCCATCCGCATATGGGCGAGAATGCAAGAAGAGCGGCGCCATATACAGCAACCAGCACCGAGACCCAGTATTGAACTTGGTCCTCCTCAATATGACTACGCGAACGTATTGCGAATGGGATGACGGGTACAATGACGCCGTACAGAAACATGTCCTTCTTGAATCAGCTCTTGTTCAGCACCTAGCTACACCTGCATTGAGGACTTACTGTAAAGACGGCCAAAGACACAGTCCCGATTATGAAAGCATCTGAGCTTCTAACCTTGAGCATAACCGGCGGTTTGGATCCATGCTGCGTCAATGACGACAGCCATGAGGAAGTCGACATGCTGTTCTGTACTGCTATTGCTCGATGCGCCGCGGAATCTATTTGTACAACAGTTCCCCTATGAGGACCCGGAGCAGTACCACGGTTCTCATGCGGCCCCTCATCTAAACGATCGTCCATGGATGCGAAGATTGCGGTACGACGATCACGTCCACAACATGCGTATCTATCCTCTCTGCTCTATCACTGTCTATCAGCAATGCATGTTGCTGCAATGCAAAAGACTGCAGGTCGATGATGGACGATGCGATGCGATGCGATGCAGTATTCGTGGCGCGTGTGTTGGTGCTCATGTAACGGCTCTCTTCGTGGCGTGATCCCAGCCTCGTTTTTGCCGCGGCCTTGACTAGCGTATTGCCTGCATGGGACCCCCCACCTCGAGACCTCTTCTCTACAAGCAGGACTCCAACTGTCTCGTCGCCCATATGGTGTCATTCAATTGCACTACCGACTGGCCTTTACTTTTCCATGGACGAGTAATGTCCGGCCATGTGTGGAACATCGTGGCAGCCACGGGAGAGCCATATCGCGCCACGTGCCTCAGCTGTGCGGAAGATACATCGTGCCGAAGGAGAACGGGCTGCACGGTTATTTGCTCCGGACCAATGTACGAATGATTCCGATGCTTTTGCTGGTAGAGTGCCGAATCGTCTTGGAGCGCGTGTGAGCAGCCATGATGAACTAACCAGACTATTCAGCAAGGCAAGCGCATGTACTCGTATTGCGCAGCTGGCACATAGCGTACCTGTTGCGAGGTGTGATACAAAACCTGCGTCTATATCTCCATATTGAACAGTGAGTGGATTCTCCAGATATGTACTGGAAGAGCTTGTACCTCGTTAGAATGCTGGTGTGGACGTACTGCGACATTTCGGCCTCAGCCTCGCCAAGTGGGCATCTCTTCCCATTATATATCGATCTCCCTCACTCGGCTCTGTCGGTATACTAAACATTACGATATGATCCATGACATCACCGTTAGTCGGTTTCTTTGCTTCTTTCTGGTCTCCTATCCGCATTGCCATCACAGGTCGCCGAACCTTTCCACCAACAGTCTTGCTTATTCCATCGGCACGTCTTGGAAGCATGTACTTTGGCCTTGCCTTTGTGAATGTGTACATGTATTTTGGATGGACAGCCTGTGAACTTCAAGTAGGGGGTGTAATCAGACAGTATGCCATCACGGTGACTGAAAGGATGCGTTGCGATGGAAGCTGATCACCTCTCGGATTGGCTGGTCAAGCACTCACGTTCTTTCCTTAGCTGTCTCACATACATCGGACGTTTCTAGAAGGAAACATGGAAAGCGGCGCTCTGTAGTCGGGCGGTTTCATGAGTTAACTACCAACTTCACTTTCTACCGGTTCCCGCCAGTGCCTAGCATTGCCATCACATCTCATGTACGCTTGAGGATCAAATGTCCATCCGCGTCAACGAAGTACGAAAAAGAATAACTGGTAAGATTACATTGTCGTAAAATTTTGCAGACTTGCGTTCTGATAGTAACGTCACCTTCAGCGCGCATGTTCAGTTTACCCTCATATGAGGTGCGCCTTCGTGAAGGCCGGTCGAATTTGATTTCATCCATTTAAACGAGCCATGCGATAGCTATTCTAATCTACTTCACACCTCTTTCTTTGGGGCCCCTCGTGGGAAGGGGGCTTACCACCGTTATCTCATTGGCATTATGGGGGTTGTGAGTGACTCGTTGTTTACAGGTCATCGCAGTACCGTGGTTATTCACTTGAAACTCCACTATTACGTCATATTGTGGCAGCCTGGACCTCAACTCGCTTCTCCTATCTGAGACAAGAAGGACATTAACGCACAGACACAGGTGACCCTTGCTCACGCAGAGCCGCAGCAAACTGTCGCATACAGCAACTCGTCCACTAAACCCCGACGCTCAACACCCACGGCTCCTCCAAGATGGTACGATTCAACCCTGCCACGCCTGTTCTAAGCACATGCGCACACCCCGTACCGACCACTCTTGCTTCCAGGCTCCCCTCGCCGCAGCTCTGCCCATCATGCATGATAATTTCACAAGCCCGAGACATCGAGGCTGTACAGGAACAGTTTGATTTGCGCGGTGGTCTTTTTCAGTCCAAAGAAGGCGGCAAAGGCGACCATGCGAGCCCTGGCCACAAGGCCGTCAGAAGGAACTGGCGCAGGGCAAAAATTGCACTGACCAATACTGTGGAATTGTTCGAAGACTTACTTAACGACACAAGTGTGCCAGTCCAGGACCTGACCAAGCTGAGAGAAGCGCTCAATATTTGGAACTACAAGAAGGTCTTGCTGGGTAGAGTGCCGGGTCTAAGATACGTTGACGGTGCAGAGGAGGGAGAGCCGACCGAGTTGGAGAAGGAGGGTGCGCGTTTGTTGATGGTATGGTTGAGAACGGTGATCGAGAAAGAGATGGAAGAAGCGTGGAGAGACGAGGTAACATCATCCGTATCCGCAACAGGATTGAATGAACCGCAGCAGGTGCTCACGATGCCGGAGTCAACTGGATTGGATCCGTTAGTGGAAGCTTTGCGCAGTCAGCCACCGGAGTCTCAGTGGATTTCAGCACCAGAACCGGAACCGAAAGAAAGTTTAGACGCACATCCCACAGCCACAGCGATGACTGCGACCCCGCTAGCATCCCAGCATAACTCCGCAGTCCCCAAATCGATCCTTAAGCGCCTACGCACTCGCACCATTCCAGGCAGCCAATCCGCCTCACCATCGCCTAAACGGGTCCGCACAACAGATTCGGTGACTATATCACCCGAGCATCATTACATCGTCAATCCTTCGCCCTTCCAGCCGCTCTCTCGCAACGCAGTTGTGCTGCCCCACGCCGACCATACACTTGCCGAAAACCATCGCCCGCGACCTAAGTTCCATCGCACAACTTCAGCCTACACACCCGGCGTATGGGCATCGGATGCTTTCAGCGAAAAGGTGAATACTAGCTTCCTTAGCATGTCGCGCGAGGATATGGAGAAGCACTACGATGATGAGTCAGCAGAACAAGAGCAGGAGCACATGTTGGCGGATAAGCTGAAGGAGACGAGCAGAGGCTGGGTGGCGCTTTGGTGGGCGAACAAGGTCGCTCCGCACTTGGACCTGGAGAAGCTGAAGATGGAAATGCTAGCACGAAGTGAGGAGACGGAAGTGAGGTAGACCACTGCACTTGGCTCTAAAGTGCGAGGGTGTGCGAAGCTCAGGGTCGTGATTGCCGCTACGAAATCGAGAATTTGACCTTGAGATTAACACTAGTGGTTCAGACGACTTCGGTCGGAGTGAACATTCTGGGAACTGTTTGAGACGCTTGTATACCCCTAGACATGATGAGTACGGGCGCGCGGTATTGACCGGTTTCTGGGGATCCGGTGCGCCTTCCAAGGTCTGCTTTCTTTTCGTTTAGATGACCTGGGGAGCGAAGCCGCCTAGCATTGGTTTCACATGCGAAAGCTCATAAAGCTGCCGAAGGATCGCTGGTGATGGAAGCGACATTTGATTCCAAGCATGAGCGAGGGAGCGCCATAGCGCCGTGTTGGACGCAAAGCTGGGGCGAGGAGATGGGGGGCAACGCGTCGTCGCGTCAGGCGTTCCTGCCGTAGCGCGAACACCCCAGTCGGGAAGATCTCCGCAGCTACGTCACAATGGCTTTTCTAGAAACCTTAAATGTAAACACTTCCTCTCCATAACACATGCATCTCTATTGTATCGGAGGCCACGACACGAATCAACATCAATATGCCTGCTACACAACCCAGCGCGAATGCAGGTGAGTTGATAGACGCCTCCAGCTAGCTTAATGTGACGCTCTAACCGATCCCACTAGCGCAGGAACGGAGCCGAGAGGAGAACAGCGAAGTGGAACTGGGAACAGAATCGGAAGCTGAGAGCTCAGGCGCAGAGGACACCGACGAAGAAGACCCTGAAGCGATGCTCGAAGCAGTGAAAGCAGATCAAGCCAAAGAAGAAGAAGTAGTCAAGGCCGCCGCCGAAAAGCTTGGGGACACAGAGCGCAAAGTAGGTGACATTCGCGGAAAGTGGCATCTCTACTCCGCGCAATGGGTGGAAGACTATGCAAGCAAGGAGGACCAAGACCTCGAAGACAACGACTGGACCGACGGTGTGGGAAGCATCGAGTTTGGAAAGCACCTTATCGTCGAAGATTTCGGTCCCTATGCTGGTAATATGGGCATGCAACTCGAGATCTGGGGTGGGCCTGTAGACGCCCATGCGACCACGTTCAACAAACCGAAATATACATCCACGCTTCCCGAAAGCGTCCAGCTCTTCGATGAGGGTGAAGAAGATCAGATCTACGTCGAACTCAGGTTTCTCGGAGATGGCTACTTGGAGTTGCACATGGATGGTATCTACTTTGCTGGGATTCTGGTCCAAGATCGGAAAGCTGTGAAGCGCGCAGCCGAGGAATTCGATGACGAGTGGCGGAATTGCAAGTATACCAGGCATACGCACCCGTCGAATATGCTGGCGGGGTTTGGAGTGCCAGTTGGCTTGGAAGACTCTGATTCTGGGAGCTTTGACGAGAGCGACGATGAGGACGATGACGAAGATGGAGAATGAGAAAGCATGCGATCTCCGAATTTGTATACACTTCAATGTTGTCATTTACGACTTTGTAATATATCCTTTTGGTTTTGTAGTGCGAGGATCTCTGATCGTGAATTCGACGTGTGATGACGATGTGGCGTCGGGCCGAACCCAATGCACTACTCTTGGTAGACCAAAAACAATGCAACGCGTCTCGGCGCGACCCTCAACCCGACCTTGAGCATCACAGATTATCTCTCTCCACCAACGAATTTACTTCTTCCATCTGCGCATAGACCTGTATAGGCGAAGAATCGAACCGTAATCCTCTCCCTGGAGTGTTCAAACCAGAATGCGCCCTGTTCCGTTTCGGTATGGCGACG